ATGCCAAACAGCATAATTGCTGAATGTTGTCTCCAATGGAGAAAGTTGATGTATGGCCACATATGCGCATATATCATAAAAGGGTCAGGCATAGATTTCTAAATGTATGTACATTTATGTTGTGTATGTATATGTTAGTATCAAATGTATATATAACATAACAAATCTGCCTTTATTCATTTTTCTCCACTTAAATCTAATGTTTGAAGAGTTACCAAAAGGTAAAAATGAACTTGTATTACATTATCATAGTACATATCATGGTTGTTGAATAGGACAAGCAAAGACAAGTCCAATATGTTGACTTCACTGGATTTGCTTTTACATACATATTACATAATGTTTTATTAATCATTTTTTATTTAAATTAATCAATGATACTGGCGTTGACCATTAATCTATCCACTCTTCACTCAGACTCAGCTTTTTACCAATGTTTGGGAAGAAAAGAGGACAAAACAAAAGTCCTTCAAACATGTTTTTCCTCAACAAATGACATCATGTGGTGGAGGTCATGTGACAATGAGACAAACTTAAGTAGGCAACAAATATAATGTTAACAATGTGTACAAAAAATAGCCATTTGATTGGGTTTTCTCCTTGACTGTTAAAGGAAACTACAAAATAAGTTATGTTCAGGTTCATTTTGAATGTTTGTATTTATTTAGTAAAATAGAAGTCAGGACTGCACAAAATAGGTCAGCTGAAAATCAAGATTTTAGGGGATATTCTTATTCTTAGGGTATAAATTAATTTTGCACAGAAAGTATGGTTCTACAAATGTAGCAGTGTCATTTGATAAAATAATTACTTAACAATATGTACTGATGAAAATGCATCAAAAAAATAACCCACAGATATAAAAATGCACCCACAACTACAGCATAGCTCAGCAGCAGACTGCAGTGCTGGAGTTATCCAACTGAAGTGCTGGAGGGCCACATCTCTGCAGAGATTTAACGGTTGAATTGAACCAGGTGTATTAAGAGGTGCAGTGTGTAAGATTTAGTGACATCTAGAGGTGAGGTCACAGACTGCAACCAACTGAATACCTCCCTCTCCCCCCTTTCTTTCCAAGCATGTAGTAGAACCTAGTAAAAGCTATCACAGGTGGATTCCACGCGATTCAGATGTGGATTTTTTTTTTTTGCAGAATTTGCTCCACCGTCTGAACGCAGCCTGTGGCATAGCTTTTGTTCAGTATTTGTTTACTGCTAAGAAAGAGGTCTGAATAAAACTCACACACACACACACATTTTCTAAAACATTTATGCTCCTGGGTTGCGGGGGGACCTGGAGCCTATCCCAGCTGTTGAATAAAACTCAACTGTGCCATTATAAAGTCTCAAATATTGTACTTTAATAATGTTGAATGCTTTAATAAACTGAAGACAGAAACATTCGTTAAATAACATTTTTACAGTGTTTTCATCCACATTTTTACAAGGCACATTTTCAGGCACTTTTTTCTATTTTAATATTGAATAGATATACCATCATATCTTATCAACAGATATACCGTATAGATATAATAGATATACCATCATCTCTTATCAAATTGAATTATGAATTTAGAGGACTGTTACACCCCTGGTAAACACTGTACGGCTGTGGCCCTCCAGCACTGCAGTGTGGCACTCTGTTCAACATGAAGGGATTATGTTTGCTCCTTTCTCAAGACTGTTTTTAAGGGGATTCCCCTTCAAGATCACACGACCATCAAGAAGGGAGTTCCAGTTCATTTTTGCATGGAGCAAGGCTGACACTAACTTGCTCCACCCTAAATTTTACCCCCTCTAGCAGAAACTATTCAGGTGCAAATGATAGCCTTCTCACTGTAATGAACAACTACAACGGAAAACATGTAAGGCTTTTCCACATGCTCCTCACTCATATTACATTAATAAAACATCATATAGAGTCAGCTTCTCATGGTATAGGGGAATATTGGCTTCTTTATGGATTTTTCATTTAGAATAAATGAGTTGATTCTTACAAAAAATCATTTAATAAAACAAGTATGTTATTTAAAGAAAAGCCTGGCTGCTCAATAAGGCTTACATGTCCAAAGCTATTAAAATATGTTGTATAAACTAAGCAAAATACTTTATTTATTGTTAAAAATAGACTAAATCCCTGTACTGATAGGCTGTTAGTTTTGTCGTGGCATCAATGGTTGCTCTCTATCATCTAATATCTAATTTAAATCAAATATATCATTCAGCCTTTCTGACTTTAGCTAGACTGTGACAATACCCAAGAGAAAAACTCTTTTGATTGTCTTATTTTACGTAGGACTAACTCCAGTGCAACCATATAACATTACCTTAGTGCAACAATAGCGACTGACTGGTAGAGGGATTTTGCCTATTTATGATATTTTTTTATAATAAACAAAACATTTCCACTTGGTTTACCCATCAAATTTAATAGTGCTGGACATGTACACTATTATAAAGCACACAAGTCTCAACAGACAGGGTTCCCTTCAACAAAGTTTAATGAAATTAAATGTTTAGTTGATGCTGTGAAAAGTTATTTTCCTCAGCCTCTCAAACACAGTTATTGTCCAGATTTATAGTCATAGGCCTAATATCCAGCTATTGTAACACCTGTTGTTAAACTGAATGGAATAGCAATTATTTACTGAGGTGTACAATTTTACAATAATGGGATTGAGGAACGCACATATATAGACGTAGATTGGTATGTTTAGCTTATACTAATGCAAAGACTATCAATATATTTTATTGCATTTACCATTTTCACTGTAGATATAACAAAGTTTCCCCTTTTTATATACAAACAAGTTCTAAAATTATCAGTATTGGTATTGGGATAGCAACCTCCATATTACACAGTATCACTGCCATCACCCATCCCTACTACCCAACATCTACTATAAATTGTAGCACAGGCTGGTGTGTGAACTGTATTTGCTTAGAATGATTAGAATGCTTAGAATTAGCTTAGATCCCTTCATATCTACATATGGAGCAGATGCTCTTCCAACAGGGGCTTCCATGTTTCTGTAGTAGCCCAGAACAGACAAACCAAACACTGGCTCTAGAGAGTGCCTTGTGTGTATTTACGCCGAAGTCTAAGACTTTAGTGGCGCCCGAGCACCGGTTGGAAGACGTAAAAAGAAGAAGAATCAGTGGGTGCCGCCAGTGATGGACATATGGAAGATCATACTTATTATTTAGCACAAGAAAAAGCAAGGGAGGGGGAATCCTTGTCGTCAAAGAAATGACGGTCACCGTAGTTCTACTACATGCTTGGAAGGGCAGGAGTAAGGGAGGGGCATTCAGTTGGGTGCAGTCTGCAACCTCACCACTAGATGCCACTAAATCTTACACACTGCATCTTTAAACAACATTGACCAACTGCATGTTTCAGTACAATGACAGCATAATTAGTCCAGCTTAATTAGATTTAGTGCAATGCGGTATGCGACATACTGAATAAAAAACAGATGGCAGCTTTTAAATGCAGCACTAGGAGTACTTTATGTATGCTGAAATATTGTGATGAAGGGAAATTCCATCGATGTTTCAAAATTTCATGTAAGTCAGTCACTGAGATATATACATTCATTCACAGTGGTTTGATGTGAAATGATTAATTGTAGAGAAACCTGCCAACTTAGACTGCTTTATAGTGGTGGTGATAGAAACCAGGGGTCACATTGTCTGCAACACAAATACAGCCATTTTACTTACTATCTAAAACCACCAGTGAACCTACGCATGTCGCATCTTCTGATGTTGTTAATGGTAAAATAGTGGTAAATCTGGGGTCTGTTTTGGTCTACAATGCCCTGCATGAACCCCTCCATCATGAATAGCTTTTTAAAAATATATTGTTTTTATATGTCATATAGTTAATGTAGTAACTTTCTGCGAGGCAGCTTTTAAATGCATTAAACTCTTTGGACGTCTGGTTCCTATCACTACCACTATGAACAATTCGGACTCGCTAAGTTTCTCTAGAAAGGAGCATTTCACACTAAACCTCTCTGAATGACTTTGTCTACATCTTACTCTTTTAATTACGTTCAGATTTCGAAAAATACCTCTAAGCTAAAGTCCACAGTACCTCAAAAACGAGCTGAGCTGAGCTGAACAGAACGCTGTTTCAGGTGGTGAGTAACTGCCCACAATGCCTCGCTCTGTTTACAAAATGTGAAAACCCCTTTACCCCCCTTCTCAGCTCTCCACCAGCAAAGCAGCCACTTTTACATGCTACTTCGACTAACTTCACTTCTTGAGGTGATAAGCAAACAAACAGCAAATGAAAACAGCTGGAACCTAAACGAAATGTGACCCATTTCGGTGTATAATGAATTGGTGATGTTACTCTAGCTTAGCTAACCTTAGCTGCGCTAACACATTTGCCCATGCAGGTTCTACACAGCCAGTTAGCTTGTTCGGATGTGAACCACAGCTAGCTAACCTAGCTTACTCACACGTTAAACTACACGGTTTCGGGTTTCGAAGGGAGTTTAAAGGTCAAATGAATGACCACTACATCCGTTTTTGCTTAAAAGCTGTTACTTTAATAACACACAACAAGCCCAGCCGGCCAAGTTAAGTGTATGCCTACACCATATTGTTTGTTGTTAACCTGTGAGCTAGCTTCAAAGTTAACGCCGACAACAAGCGCTTTCCTTCTGTTACTGTTACAAGAATAAAGTACACCATCAAGAGTTTGAGACACTGCCACAAACATTTAACTACAGACATGTTCCATGTGTTTCACACGAACATGCCGGGTGCAAAATGTGCGAATTGGCGCAAATAGTAGTCAACAACCACTCCCCAAAACACTACTCACCCAGCTGATTAGCTGATCAAGCTTAGCGAGCTAGCCGACCTTACTAGTTTGACACTGCAATGAAATGAGACGGCTGTTCAGTCCCCGGAGAGGAAAGCTAAGCTAAGCGCTGCGCTGACGCTATTTTATTTGATCAGAGATGGAATGATTCTCGTTATACTCACTATTTGACTACTGGTCTTTGCCATGGAAGTTTTCAGGCAGATTTGTTAGAAATGTGGACATTAGAGAGCCCTGGCTGATGGCTGCCTCAACGCCCTCATCTTCCAAGTGTGACGTCACTACACAACAACACAGGGGCTTATAATAATAATAACAATGATAATAATAATAATAATAATAATAGCTGGAAAAAGCATGGCTTTTACCCTACTCATTTTGCATCCCCAGTAAATCTAGAGAAGTGCATTTGAAGATCCTTTACAGTATATACCTACAAATGAGACAGTAGCTAAATTCCAAAACAACAATATTAGCTGCACCTTCTGTCAAGTCATGTGAGCCCATACCTCATCTTTTTGTTGACTGTCCTTTTGTTTCTGCGTTTTGAATAGACTTCTCAATTTTCTTTGTGAGGTAAACAAATACTACCTTTAAATTAAAGTTATGTGATGTAATAAGCTAGTTCTTATATACAGATTTAGATGTGGAGTACACTGAAAATATTTTAATAAGTAAATACAAAGTACACAAATGCAGATTTTCCACAGCAATACTCAAGTTTGATATCTTCTTAACAGACTTTGCCTCACTATTGAAGACTTTTCGATTGGTAAATAACAAGAAAAGTTTCAGAAAAGTATTAGAATGTATGATGATATAATGAATAACTTTCTTTCTGTTTTATATCGTCTGTAAGTTGTTTACAGAATGTATTCCTGTCATCCATATTTATTCTGTCTTTGTCATGTTACATATTTTGTGAACTGAAAGTTGTTGCAATAATAAGAAATAGTAATGATAATACACTTTATTACCATCTAATGTCCTGTATAAACCAGAAGAGTGGCAAAATATATCACAGACGAACTGCTTCATTATGTATGTATGTATTATTTTCTCTCCAAATAAGTAAACTAAAAAGAACATACATTTATGACATTAACCACAAGAAAGAGGAAATTGAGATTGAGCAACTGTTCATAAGTAAAAAGAAAGAAACATAGCCTACACAATAGTAAAGCCACTTAAAGCTGACATAAAATGTGCCTTTAAAAGAGCTTTAAAGCAAAGAACAGATTGAGCCATTTCCCATAGCTGGGAGGAGAACACTCCCAAAGTCTGTTAAGATCTCATTTTGTTCTCAGTATCATTTTAGGGATATTTAAAGTGTTTTCACACCTGAACACTAGACAGAGTCATTACTGTATAAAGGTCCCAAAAGCTTTACTGTATAAGATAAAGGGGTGAAGGATTATAAAGAGTTTTGTAAGTCAGTAATAAACTAAAAAAAACAACAACAAAAACAGGAAATCAATGGAGCAAAACTAAAACTACTGTAAGAGTACATACCTTATTAAAACCTATGTCTATTATTATGCAAAAATAAAAACTTAGCCAAGTGTTGTATTATTTTAGCCAGTAGAGGGCAGCACATCACTTGATAAAAGCCTTTTCAACAATACATTTGCAAATGAAATAGACGGGCGGCATATGGTTGTAAATGGCCAGAATCCTAATTGTCTTGGGTGAGAGCTCAAAGTGGATTATTAACACATGATTATTGGGTAAATGTTTTTGTAATGGTTTGGTGAGATTTAAGTCCAAGGGACCAATTCATTGAGACAATATGAGCATATGCTCAATCTTCCATAGACAGTTGCAAACTGTCAAGAGTCACTGTAACCAGTTCTGATGAATTCTCTTCTGTCTGCTCATATAACGGCTCTTTTGAAGCATTAGCAGCTGGCACCAGTTCAGGATTACAAGGCCCCGTGGTAAACGTGGGAATAAGACCAATGGGGGTGTTAGTCAAGGTGCAATAATTTTGAGTGAAACCATTTTGAGTAAAACATACAGGTTTTGGAGTGACGGTCAACGTTTCCGTAGGCTCCAGGTCCTCATGACCGAGCTCCAGGTCGTCCATGCACAAAAAACCCTCAACAGCAATTGGTTCAAACATGGTCAAACAAAGCATGGGCTCTTCAACTGCAGACTCTTCAGGTAGGAAGTCGAGATCTTTACAAGATATACTAGCAACACTGTGTGTGTCAGACTTTTGTAAGGGGGCCCAGACTTCTGCTGAGGGGCCAACGTAAGGGGTCTGATACTGGGGTGTGACATACATGCTTGAGATCTTTTCTTGATCCCGCTCTACAGCTGTGATCTCTGTTATCGCGTCAATTGTCGAAATTTCTTCACTGTAGATTTGTTGCACTTGACTTTTGGGCACCCAATCCTACGAATCAAAAAGGTAATTAATATATGTGATATACACTCTCATAAATGCAGTAACAGCTTCTACTCTTCTAGGAAGGATGTTGGAACATTGCTGATTGCATTCAGCCACAAGAGCATTAGTGAGGTCAGGTACTGATGGGTGATTTGTTATGGATTACGAATGCTATTCCAACTCATCCCAAGTCAGAAATAAAGGTACAAAACTGTCACTGGGGCAGTACCCCTCTTGTCACTGGGATGTACCTCAAGGGTACATCTCAGTACATTTAGTTAGGGAACATAATTGTACCATAATCCATTGAAATCATATTTTCTAAGTTGTATTGACTCCACACACCCCATCTCATCTATTTTATTGCTCTGTATTAAAACATGAGGTTATGAAAAGGTAGAAATATGTACTTCTCACCTAGAAAAAAACTTATTTAAGGTAAACAATTGGACCATAAAACCATTGTGAGGGTACATTTACACTGTTTGTACCTTGATGAACCTGCACAGCACCTCTATTTCTTACAATGTAGCGGACGCTTGGCATCAGGCATGGTGACCCAAGGCTCATGTGCGGATGCTTCACAGTGTCTCATTCCGGCAGATCTTTGTTATAGAGATTATACAAGCTCTGTGTGTGCAACTGAATGCATGTGTCAACAATGGGTGCACATTAAATTAACCAAATTCACTAAGTAGAAGGGGTGTCGGGAAACATTTGGACATGTAGTGTTTATAATTTCCATGCTGATGCAAATTTTGCGTTGAAAGTCAGTTTAAAGAGCGGCATCCTACCTTGATATTGCTCTGATGATTTTGCAAAAGTGATTGGAAGTTTGGAGATGGCGTTGCCACCCAAATGATATCTTTGATCTTCATTCTGTGTTGACAGAAATGGTAGTTAAGTTTGTGTGTGGTAACTTAATGTAGCAGATGTTTAATTAACTACTTTTCCGTAGTTACCTTGCAACAGGGTATAACAGCAGAAAGGTTACTGCCACCGCCAAACAAATCAGAATAACCATCACGGCTGTAGATGGAAGCAAGGCTAGATTGTGCTCTGTGAGTGAAGATTGAGCAGTATGTGTGAATGCTGTTGGATAAATTGTCATATTGTTAGATTTTGAGGTTCTGCAACAGGCAAAACAAATTCTGTTTTAGTGGTAGTGGAGGGGTCCAACTGGGTAAAGGCCAAGACACAAGAAAGCAGAGGGGCATGTCTCCCATTGGCGCATTATAAGGCATAAAATATGACATGAAGTTTTCCCTGGCTGGAAACTTGTATAACTGAAGAATGACAAAAACTTAAGCTCTGCAACCGTATGAGACCTAAGTTGCCATATTTTGCGCCTTATAATCCAAGTGTTGTTAAAAGGAAAAGTGATGGCAAACTTGCTCCTGCCATAACTGTTTTGGAACAAGTTGTAGGCATCAAATTTGGAAGAAGCATATAAAGCTCATAAGATAAGTCAGAGTCAAACAAGTCACTGCTGTTTTCATTAATATTTTACATACTTTCCCAACTTTTTGGATATAGATTAGATTACATTACATTACATTGCCCTTATAGCTCCAGTGCAGAACTAAAGAAGCAAACTTCACACATCAAACATGTCTTGGCTGATGGACTATATTATATATTATGTAAGCTGATAATTGTGAAAATCTGATTTTAAACTGAACCACTTAATAAACCTCAACACTCAACCTGTCAGATACTGAATTCACTCAACTAATTCCCCTCCATGAACTAGTGTTAAACTACATAAGAGCAGTATCAGTCTAACAAATGTCATGAAGCAACATCAGACAGATCCCTTATCAGATATTAATTCACACCACTGAAATTGTACTGAACCATACCACTCCATTTTTTCCCACTCACTCCATATTTACCTTTGTGTGAGGTGTTCCATTTGACGGCAGAGCTCCAGTGACTGCTTGTCCCATCATAGACACTATTAGGATAGATTTCATTGCGTACCTTAGCAGTGTACTGAGTACCTGGTTCGAATTCTGCTTCTGAAATATTGAACTCTGTTCCTTTTACATGCACAGATAATGCCTTAAAAGAACAAAAGTTTAAAAGGATGTTAGTTTTTAAAGCAGCCATTACTTTGCAAATGTAAATTTGACTTCAGGTTATGAACAGAGATTATAAGAAAGTACTTGTTGAGACTTACACTGTCAGGATATCCCTCTTTGTGGTATGATAATTTGTATTCAAAGGGCAAAACGTAATTAAGTGTGTGTTTCTCGTATCCACTCGTCCACTTAAAGGTATAGTTTCTGTCTGCTTTACTCACTGTTAAATTATTTGGTGTAAGTGGTTTGACTGTGAATGAAATATGTTTAAAAATTAAAACATCTGTTGTTTTGAAAGGCAGTAAAAATAACTATTCAATATAAATGACAATGTAAATATTACATACATACATATATACATATATACACACACACACATATATGTATATGTGTATATATATATATGTGTATATATATATATATATATATATATATATATATATATATATATACTGTAAATGTAATCAAAAGTTAATATCCAAAGGCCTATCACCTTATCCATTGCTTGGTTGCTACAGTATGGCAGATTGTGTATCACATGATGTCACACATGTATTCCATTTGCCACTTACTATGTTTTGATGGGTAATATTTAGAATCCAGTACTGACTTTTTAAGGCCATTCTCCCAATAACAAAGTGATACAACAAAATAATGGTAATCTGCAAATGAATTCCGATATGGAATTTTGCTTGCTTTGAACATGCAATTGTAATCATCCTCTCTTAGTGTAAGTGAACAGTTATAGACCCTGTGTGTGAGAGAAAAGCAAAAAAAAGATGAGATTTGTGAATGAATACAGAAGATAATGATGCTGTACATTATATTCATTTGCGAATCATTACAATTGTTTGTTCTGTAAAACGAATTCCAGCCAGTATGAGGTTGTTTCACTTCTGTTGGGAATGGCTGTGGGTTTTAAAAAGCAATCGATGGTGAGCCAGTAATTCGTCACACAGGTGAGCGCATTCGCCTGAGCTGAAACATCAAACAGGAAAATTCACCATGACCACCACTTAAGGACAAGAAAAGATACAAGCAAGCATCAAAACAAAGAAGGCCGTCAGACAGAGCTCAGGATTTTCCATGCTTTAAAGTAACAGTCTGGGATTTGGAAAGCCATTTTTACTAAACACACGTATGATGTTTTACTGTTCATGCTCAAAAATAGCTTGTAGTACTTCATTTCTGAATACAAATATTCTCTATACTTATGGGACATTTGCAAACAATGTGAATCAAACAAAACATTTTTGCCTGCTAAGTTTTTTGTTATACCACTCTATGCACTCTTGCTTCTTGCTTTCAGAACATGCCCACAACCACTTCCTTAACACTCAAATCAAATCATTAGGTGATTATAAAATATCGGATGAGTACAATTTTCCGTAAATATGACTTGACATGTTACCTTGTGATCTGGCTTTGGATAATTGTGTAAGGGTCAGAACTGTACAGAGAATTCCAAGTAGTAGCATCTTTCTCACATTTTCTTGCACTTAGTCTCTAGGCTGAGTAGGTAGACTCCACACTACAGTGTCAATCTGTACATAAGACAGCAAAACACTACATTTTTACCAACATCTGTTATAAAATAAATGAACCATTTCATCAATTGTTCACAGGATTAAGATCCAAATGGGCAACCAAGCTAGCATAAGCTTTTTATTCTATTCTTTATCATCCAGCTCTCTTTGGAGAGCCCTTGATCACTTACAGTAGAAATCTCAGTTCATAGACATGGCGAAAACAATGATATACAAGACTAATTGGCACCATTAAGTGTCTGCTGATCCAAGTATGTTACTCACTCAAGTTAAAATATGAGAAATCAGAAAATCAAAGTCAAAAAAGCAGTTGTAAAACATTTAATTTTTTTGTACTGTTCATGGCTGACATTTTCTTATAACAAGCAAGACAGCTGCATGGCAAAACATGGCAATTAACCAAAGGAGCTACTGACACAGTCCAGCATAAAAGGTTCAATGTAAAACATGAAGGATGACAGAAATATGAACGTTACCTCGTGTGGTAAAGCTTTGGCAGATGAATGAGAGCTAAGCATGTGATAATCGAGACCGGGTTTATATACACACAGCAGTTCCTGTTTTTGTCTGAAGTCTAAAACCTCTATCAGTAAATCTACGATCAGTTAATGAAGCAAGCATCTCGAAGATTGCTCATTTTAAAGATTACTTTGGAGGGTATTTACAGTCATTCTGTGCCCTTCTCACCAACACTCAGAAAGTGTGATTCACACTCCATAGCAGACCACACTACTGACATAATAAATTACTGTCACAGGTATCCCACAGTGGGCAGGTGGTGGTCGCTGACTATGTGTAGCATGTGAAATTTGCAAAGATCTTCAGCACTTACCACCTAATGTCGCAAGGCTTTTAAGGGAGAAACACAACAGCTGCTTAAATCCTCTGATTTTAGCCACAGAGGCACGAATTTTAATGCACCTGTTACTTGGAATTTGAAAGGGATTCACAAAATCTGGGATATCTGATCTAATTAAATAAATTGATTTTGTTTGAATTGTTTGGCATAGTCTGTATTTTACTTGATAATACAATAATACATTTAGTCTCTTAGTCTCTGCAAGGTTTCCCTTCTATAAATATGATTTTAAAACCAAAATAGTTTTATTTATTTAATACATTTTTGCAGTATGGCATCATTTGATGGTAGGTTAAAAGAACAGATTACAAGAAATTATTTCAGATTTCTTACTAAGCATTATCACTTTGTAAACTAAGGTTGGTTTTGCAAACATTAGGTACTTTAGGTCATCTTAACTGGCACTTCCATCATAATGTGAATCAAGTGCTTGTGGACATTTACAGTATGGTTGGATAAGAGTTCCAACCATTATTTGGTAATCTAACAGCTCTGTCTAAACCCTTCAGGACAGGTCGGTGCACATAGAGTGGGTTGAGTGAATAAAGCCATAAATCAACTCTAGCTGCCAAAAGTGCTACAGCTATTGCAGCAAGCTTTTCCTGAGCACACACTTAGACGACACTTGTGCAAACAAAGACGAGAAAGGTCAGTAGCTGATCTCAGCAACTCTATTTGTGCGTATATAAGATCTGATAGGTTGACATGCCAGCGGCATTATCAGATTGAAGGCACTTCATAAGAATGTCTGAGCTGGCTTATCTCCCTGAGTTTAAACATGCTCATCAGATCCCTGTCAGTTCTCTCATACCCACTAGAACATGATAGCAAGCATTAGAGCTGTGCAAATAATCTTAGAAAAATACAATGTAGAGATAATTCTATGTACCATGTATTCCCTAGTCTACCTCAAATAAGAGAAAATGCATAGCCTTTCAAAAGCTCAGAAATATCTAATGCAGTTTTGCATTTTATCATAAAACACCATGTCACAAGGTGATAGAATCAGCTCTCTCACTTCCCTCAAGGCTTAATTAGAAGCAAAACAAGTCTATTGTTCCCTACTGTGGCTGCCACAGTGCCACTGTAGACGGTGATGTAAGTGCTTATGTCTGCAGTTATGCAGAGTTAAACATGTAACAAGTCCAGCTGATTCAGTAACTGTTTTTGACAGTTCCAAAACCCACAGTCCAAAACCTAGAGTCCAAGAGTTAGTAAAGAAGAGGAAAAAAAAAAAAGTGTATTGTTGAGTTCAGAGACTCTACTGCTCAGAGTTGCTTTGGTCTTCTGACAGTGGTGTGATGGCCACCCACTGCTTGACATAGTTCGAATGGACACCCACCCCACCACCTAGCAAAGCAGCATCCATGTGCTCGCCTCCGTCACATTCAGAGTTCATAGGGCTCGAGCAGTCTGATTCCAAGAAGCCACTGTCAATGGTGTCCAAGTCCAGGCCCATTTGAGGGTAACCATCATCCGAATGCTCGTTAGAACCGTACGAGTCCAAAGAGATCTCTTCGATGTTGTCCATATCATTGCCCTGCAGCTGCCAATCGTCGAAACCTCGTTCTTCCAAGCCTTCCCTTCCATCCAGCCCCGGGACGTCGTCCTCGTCTGAAACCCCGGGTGCCCTCTGACCAGCCCCGTGGAAGCCGGGGTCTGGTCTGTTTCTGCTACTTCCTCCGGTCCAATCTGACATGGTGCCCTCTTGACCAGACACAGTCACGGTGTCCATGGAAATGTGGCCGCTGGAGTGTGCGGTGCCCAGGCTGCTGCCTCCAAGGAAGTAGCGCTTGGAGGAGCCGGCGTTGACCAGGCTGAGCAGGCTCCAGTCCCCTAGGCCAGTCCCGCCACTGCCTGGCTCCTGGAGAAACTCCCTCTGCAGCGGCACAGAGGCCAGCTGCTTCTCAGTGAGCACCTGCAGAGGAACGCTCTTCTCCAGTATGTCAAAGCTGTTGAAGGTGAGCACAGGACCGACCCATTTCTGCAACAGAAGAGGAAACATCATGAGAGAGCTGCACAATATGGACAAAATGCTTTCTGTTGTGATAATATTGTGCTAAATATTGCAATTGTGATACAGCTTGCATTCCCTTACAAGAAAACACTTGTGAATAAACATGTAAAATGCGAAAGAAACGCATGAACAAACATGTGATCACATGCCACATTATATTAAATATGCACTGGAGAGTCTATAATGTGGCACTTTTGCTGTATTACATTAATAAAAAATAACTTATTTGGGTCAAAATAATGCAGGCTAATCTTTATGTCACATTATTGGTAAATCAGTAATGAGACACAATTAAAAATTGTCCTGTATTTTTTTGACCAAAATGAGGTACTTCATTGGATTACTTGACTAGTAGAAGTACTCACAGAAATGAGTTACTCTTTTCTGCAACTCTGATTGGTTATGGTTCTCATACCACACAGTTAAAAACACTGCGACTAGTTAGAGGGTTTATTGCATATCATATACTTCCGTAATGTAAGTATTCCAAAGACATGATATCCAATATCGTGACTGCATTTAACAAGCAATATATTTTGAAGTGCTACTTCATCACTCATCATAGATAAAAGGACTAAAAGAATAAGGGACACCTAATCCTAGGTCAGTATGCTAACTATAAGAAATCTGACAGCTGTGTGGCTGCGAGGCCTGCGGCTGAGGTAGGAGGAACTTTGCTTGCACTGGATTTAAAAAGGCTCCTGTCGGCGCTTCTGCACATTCAAGACAGCCTGAGCAGGCTGCGACGACACGTCACGTATTCCTGACGTAAACAGTGCAACACATTTGATTCTTATGTTTAAAAACACGAAATGAATTTTCATAACAAACTCTGGAGCTACACCATCTCTCCACTCGCAGCAGAGTTTTCCTCTGTGCATGAATGATTGTGGGTGACTGAAGATCTGGAAAGATACATCAGTGAAGTCAATTTCTTAGAAGCGAACAGTCAGTTTTTCGGGTGCACATTACAGAGCGATGCAAAGAAATTTGTTCATGCATTTGTTACACACAGAGTTGATCACTGTAATGCTCTTTTTAGTGGGCTTCCTTAAGCCAGTATCTGCAGATCTAAGATCACATATTGGAACAGAGACAGACAGACACACCCTTTACAGCTCGTACAATATGCAGCAGCACAGAGCCTAAGAAAAACAAGAGGGCCGCCTGTATATTTTAGGATAGATTTCAAAATTCTCTTACTAGATTTTAAGGCTATAAAAGCACATGCGTACCTCACAGAATCTCTGTCTGTTTATATTCCAATATGTGTTCTTAGATCTGCAGATACTGGCCTTATGCGAAAACCTTCTATAAAATGTGGAGAGGCCTCTTTCAGTTCTTCTGCTTATAAACTGTGGAACTCAATTCCACATTCTTTTCACATCCTTTTATTAGACAGTTAAGCCTTGTATACACTTTTAAGGAAAATTTGAAAGCGTTTAATTAATATTCTACTTCTCTTTTGATATTTATCATGTCATTGCTTTATATGATTTTAATTTACTACTTGTAATTTCTTCTATTACTATTATGCTTTACCACCTGTCTGTAAAGTACTCTGAGCTGCCACCATTATGAAAAGTGCTCTATAAATAAAGTTATTATTATTATTCAAAGGATCCTACAAAACAGGACAGCCTTCAGTGATGTTATGGCCAATAAATGCAACTTACCTCAGCTGCATCCTTAGCTTTGAGACATAGCTACTATTTTCCCTCCAAATTTATTCATACTTGCCTTGGCTAATCAGTCTCTGAAGTTACAAGGGCTCTGCAGCTAACAGGTAATGGAAGCTTGTGCCCTACCAAAATAGCACTGTATGAACTGCATGCCTAAATCATCAGGCACTTGCTTTAAACCATTTTGAGCGGCTAAGCAAACTCAAAACAGACTCATGTTTTCTACATTTGGGGGAAGTGGAAACTTGTGTAACTTTAACATTTCTACCATCTTAATGTCAATATAGATTCTGATGATATGAACAATATGATTTTATCTTTTGTGGAAAAAAGAAACGTGTTTACAAGGCCAATGGAAAAGGGCATGATATTTTTTGCAAATTTTGTGCAAAGTGCGTGAGTTATTTTAAGCAACACCCCGAATCGAAAAAGCTTGGGGGCTCTTCAAAACCACAGACTGCAGAGTCGAACAAAACACATGTTTTAGAATAGAGAGGTACATGTTACTAGTTGGAGAACAGGGTAAACTATTTTCAAGTCGAATACTTGAAAATGTTTCACTCTTAAGCTGAAATCTTGAGTCATATCAGGTAAGATGTCTTAAATGTCACATTCTCATAAGTCATAAGAGCACCATCACTGACTCATTCTGAAAATAAGCAGTAGTCTGGTAGAGATGGAGATGAACTCATGTTTCAAAAGAACTAATCGTGAATATAAGTCAAAGAAGATAAGAGATTATGGCATTAGATTCATTCGTTCCTGTCAGCAAGTTCTCAGTGAATGGCTCTGAGGTCTAAGAGAGAATTTGGCAAATTCTCAGTGTTTGCAAATTTTCTGTGTTTGTTCAACAGTGTTGGCCAATATTGTCTCATAGTAACTGCCTGAGGTTAATTGTAGTTAATCTTAGTAAATTTAGGTGACTAATAATTTTGAGAAAATGTATCTTTGGAAACCTCTAGTGATTGCCTGAAATAGTAAATCTCCTCTTAGTAAATTCAGTAAATTTTTTAAAAGTGTGAGGTAGTTAATATTCTTACTGCCACTTTACTTATATATATCACTGTCCTCTACTGGGCATGTTTTGTCTCTGCACGTCAAATTATTTTCTTGGCCTTGTGCCAGCCTTTAGTCGTCACCACTTCCTCTGGAATTATTTCATGCTCAAGATGATTTGATGAGGGTGGTGACATGGTAGAAAAAGCGTCATTGTAACTAAACACTTCGGTTCACAGCCAAGAAAAATTTTCTTCACAGCCGCAGCCACAAACCACCAAGACATACCACCAAGACAAAAAAGGGAAACTCTGATTTTCAAAGCTTTGAGACGAGGAACCCAGCGCTGAAGGTTCCTTTGCTTTAACTTGCCTGACCCAGTGGAATCTTCATGAAATTTCCCCTTGAGATGAAAACATCTATATATAACTACCCACCTAATCTGAGTTTGGGTTTGAGCTCACAGTACTTTCCATCTAAGGGGGGGAACTGCTACTTTCATTTTGCACATATAACACAAGTCCACCCAGATGTCATCTCCACAGCCCTCCCTGCACCTTTTGAAGCCCCTTCAGACTGACTCATTCGCTAAATGTCATAGTCCCTTCTTGCTTGTGGTGAGTGACGAGGCTTGTGTTAGGCTTAACACGAAAATCCCTCCGAGCACACAGTCCCTCTTGTGAACAACACCTGCTGCTAAAGAATGATATAGCTGAAGATGCAAAAAAAGCAAATCAAAAGCAAAAGCTGCCCTACAGGGATAGACAAAGACATTTCCGCTGAAATGAAAAAAGCATCACCCCAACTTCTTGGTACCACAGCTACGTTTTCCTTACCTTAAAGTCCCCTTGATATGTGTGGTACAAGGGTTTGAAGAAGTCTTGGGGGTTTGGGATGTACTGAAACAGACCCAGCTTCTTATGCCACCCCCTATAGATGAGGGAACACAAACAGTATAGTTTGAGCTTAAAAAAAATGCCATAGATTACAAAAACATTTTGCACCTCTTCAGTGGCTGGTTCTTTATCTTGCAAATGTGATGTGAGAGTGTGATGAACTTTCAAGCCAAGAACCATTTAGAAACCTTTTATTTTTAAAAGTGCAGGGTTTCTTAAACAAATGAGCGCTGCAAGACTATGTGATGGTGTCTGCAGCCAGAGAACAAACAGTAGCCACTTTCAAAAGAAATGATGTCAACTGAAATTCAGGGCCATTTCAATTTAGATGAGAATTTAGTGCACTGAAAGGTTAGAACGTTTGATGCACCAGAAGTGCATGCACGTCTGACTTCCTCCACCTTCTTGCCTACATGAACCGAAGGCTGACTGCAAGCGGTACTTTGCTGCCGTTGTGGTTTTTGTGAACGTGGGAGGCTTGAAGGGATGATGCGCATACGGTAAAAAGAAGTGATATCAATTACTGGAAAAGGTGGAGGCATTATCAAGGTTTCAAATCAGCTAAATTGCCTAATTCTCCTCTATCCTTTAGGCCAAGTAATTAGAAGAGAGCCAAGTGTGATCTCAGGTAGGCAGAAGAAAGATGGGGGGGTGCCTTGCAGAGAAGGATGAGATGATGTGGATCAGTGTCATTTGAAGAGCTGGATTATTGGATTATAAGATCCTATGATTCTCTATAACTATGTAAACTTATATATGAATATAGAAACTTTTAAAAGACTTTATATAGGAATTATACAAAATTCTTACATAGAATTATATAAATAAGTTATGTAACGAGATAATGATTTTGTATGGAAAGTGCATAAAAGAATGAAAAAATTGAACTCACTGCTTTCCAAAGAAGAACAAGAGTACAAACAGGAGCAGTACCGACAGCAAGAGCAAGAGAAGGTATCGGTTTGGACCCATGAGAGCAGAAGAATCTGTAATAATGAAAGCAGTTCATATCAGATGTTTCAAAATCACCTTTACAATGAATCATTCAGGATTAGAGATTATCATCCCAATCAAAAAACAGACGCTGAGTGTGGTTTCACTGGGCATGTTTTCTCAAGACATGGAACAAGTTATTAAAAACATTAAAAACATTTACGGTGATCTGAACCAACAAAGGCTTCCTCTGCATAAACACAAATACACTCCATACTGGCTGTGCTGACCTTTTGCAAGTTGCAAATAACTTTCACAACCTAAAACTTCCATGAACTGAAATTGAAATGAAGCAGGGCTTCGATTTACTGAACTCTTAACACAAGATTCCAGGAACACCACATGTATACTTGATGTTTTTTTGACCACTGCTTTATAGCAAATAAGGGTTTTGAGGGAGAACTAGCATTTTGAACATGTACTAGCCTTCAGTAAGTCAGAGTCTGTGAAGATACTACAGTTGATCTTGTTGCTTTACCAGTGTGGGGGCAGCTCCACTCAGAGCTGGTGCTCCACTCGCTCCATTGACTTGAAGGAAAACTTTCGGAATTGACCGTGGCCTGGACAGAGGCCACATACGCCCTACCCGGCAAGAGCAGCTCACACCGGATTTCCTGGTACCTGCGGTCATCTCTGACATAGAATTCCTTTCTGTGTTTCTGCGGAGTAAATTTCACATGAAAGATCAGCTGCATATTTTGAGTGAAAGATCAGTAACAAGTCATGTTTGCCTTTCATATACAACGCTTAACTGTTCAGTTCACACCTATGAAAAAGCAGTCCGAACATCTTACCTCATTCAGATCATCTGCTGGCCTTAAACGCACCATGTACATCAAAAGACCATCCAGGCCACCATCTGAGACATAAGCCATTTCCCAGGAAAGGTTGAAATCCCCATTACTCTTCGTAAGAGTTAGATTGAAGGGCTGCTGTGGCTTAACTTTAAGAACATGAAGAAAAAAAGAGCAGAGAAGTTAAACGTGCATTTGTATAAAGAGATTTGAGAGAAATGAAAAGATGAATTATGACCAGACACAAACTAGTAGATACATACCGATAGCACTTAAACACACTTTCTTTGAAGTATACTTCGTCTCCTGTTGCTGGTTTGACTGTTTTACTTTTAGTGTACATATTGTATCAAGGGCAGCCATCTGGTAAAAACCCTCCGGTTCGATTATGCACCACTGTTGTGGCGACCTTATGACACAGCTCCCATCCAGAGAGTCAATCTCATCTCTGAAAAACACAAATACAACTATGTGGTGAGCAAATCAGGTAAAAGTAAGTAAAAGTCTTTGTCCATATTGCAAACTTTGTCTATATTCTGGCTGACAAGCTTTTACAAGAGATGTTGAATTAAGCAGTGCCCTTGAAAACAAACTGTAAAATGTGCTAAGGCAACCAAAAGACTATATAAGACAAAAAACAAATAAAAAAACAATACTTTGTCCACTTCATACACTGGCTGACACTTCATACACTAGCTGAAAGGCTTTTGGGCAGACATTAAATAAAAGAACACCTTTGATAACTAAGTTCACTACAGGCTTAGAAAGGAAGAAGATGAAAACAAAGTGAACTGTAACCTGCACTCTGCCTCGACATCACAAGACACCGGACCTTCCGAGGCTGAAGTGGAACAATTGAGTCTCGAGAGGTAGTCTGTGGTGCAAGTTACATTGCACGCACAGTCAACTGCAAAAACAAAAATGGTCATTGCAGGGGTCACCTTTTAACCGAGGCACTGCTGACTTTCACAGCTAGTGGATTTTATGCTGACATAAATCAACACAAGAACAGCACTCTTGAGGAAAGTGAAGGAAATTAGACTTACTCTGCTGGACGAGTCCACAGACCACAAGGAGGAAAATGGCTTGGCATACAGCAGCCATTATGATGAACCACAGGCAAACTCAGCGCCCAGCTCAGCTCAGTTGCTCTTTACACAGCACTAAGGCTAAATCTGTAATTTGAAATAAAAAGAAAGAAAAAAAAAAACCTAATTACATCTTATTTTTCCAAACTTCTAAACAATACATAAAATCTAAGTGGATTCGTTTCTTACTCAGTGGAGCTCAGAAAACAAGGCAGCACCAGGCACAAAAAAACAAATAATGAAACACTGGCACATAAAATAAACAAGAAATGAAATCATTTTCACTTCCACTGATTTCACTTCTAATGAGGAAGAGGAAAAGAGGAGGTGAAAGAAGGAGCAAGAACCGAGTAATCTTTGGATCTAGCCTGCGCGCCTGCTGAGGGGAAAACAATGAGAATGAAGAATTATTGACTTACCTGGATAAGCTCCCAGAGAATGATCTGTACCACACATATTCAAATCCCAATGAAAGACATCCTCACCGATGACTGAAAGCCCGCTGAATTGATCCTAGCAAACATTATTTTTTAACAATGCGTGCTGAAATACTGTAACTCTGCTATCGATCTACAGGTTCAGTCATTCAACAGATGACGTCTGGGGCCAGCGTTCACCAAGGATGTGGTTTTGTGGTGACCTGCAAACGAGTCGAACAGTGAAGCACCGCCTCTTGTACTGTCTGTATTTTTCATGCTCTCAAAAATGCAGTATCATCAGTAACAGACAACAGGATAAACATGAAGATGCATTTTCATAAAACAACCCGTTTCATTAGACTAAAATATTAGCAGACATACAATTCACAGTTGCTCAGATTAAAATGAGCAACAAAACCAGTGCTGACCTGGTCAGCGCTTGGACGAAGGACCGAAGAAAAAAAAAGTTTTCAAAAGTAGCTGTGGTCGTAAGAAAATGCTCAACGTTCACTGTAATGTTAACTACTGTATCAACTACACATCACTCATCCGTGTGTTGCGCGCGCGATCCTGTTGGTCACTCTGGTATTTGTAGTTCTTCTAGTGCTGCGTCTTTAAAAACAGCTGCCCAGCACATCGCCTGTCAGAGAAGACAGACACTCGAATTGCATCCACGGTTGATAGTTTCACATGTTAAACATTGTATTGAGTCTACATTGCTCGTCTATTCTTGCTTTTACTTGATTTCTCCCAAACTATACTTTTTTTTTTTTCTCGTGCTCTCTGAGGGTCATGTTTACCTTGTTTTCTTAAAGGGGAATTCCACCACTTTTTCTAATTCAGTCACTACAGTCTGCATAATGCAGTCATTGAGATGTAAACAATCATCCAGAGTGGACTGATATGAAATTGTTCATTTGTAGATTCACTTGCCGACTCTGATATATTTACAGTGGTGGTGATAGGAACCAGGGGTCGTGACGTCTACAACACAAATACAGCCTTTTTATTTGCTATCCAAAACCACCAGTGAACCTACACATGCCATCTGAGTTTTTTATGCATTGTTGATTATGGTAAAATAGAGGTAGATCTTTAAAAAATAAGTTTTCTTTGGGGACTATTTTGCCGTAGAACACCCTTCATGTATCCATCCACCATTAATATATTAAAATACAGTGATTTTAATACGTTTTGGGCCATTTTTTTATTCTCAAAACTATCGTTCAACAATGTCTCAGGCATCAGGCTGAGTATTCATAACCATTTCAGCTTTCCGTCAGCAAGCTTTTAGAGTCATTATACTCTTCAGATGTCCGGTTCCTGTCACCACCACTGCGAACAAATCTTGAAAGGAGCCTTTTACGTAAAATCACTCTGAATGACTGTTTTCATCTCAAATTTAATTATGCAGAACATTTGAAAAATCGAAGGAGTTCCCTTTTAGGTGGTTCCATTTTTTGTGTTATCCAAAAATGACTTTTACTGCTGATTTCTAGCAGCTGTTCTCAATGAAAACATAAAGAAATCAAATCCACGCTGAGACGCGGCCTGTAATTAACGATGGTTTTTTAATCAGGCACTCGGCGCTCTCCTCAGCGGTCCTATTTATTCACTGTTTTTAGAGGAGGGAAACTTCGCCGTCCGGCTGCTTAGCGAGGAAATTTGTTTGAAGTTTGAGCCACGTTAGTCTTCATAACAGTCATATATTATCGGAAAAAACTGCAACGTGTTTTATTTAATCAAGGGTGAGTGTGGAAATGAAGCTAAACACGAAAACCAGTCCCCGTTCGGCGGAGATGTGCGGTGCTGTTTTTGTTCGCTTTGCAGTGCCGCTAGCTCGCTTGTTAGCAGTGGCTAATGTTAGCCGTGTGGCTTTATGAGCTCGTCTGTGATAAAACATGATAAATATTGTCTTTCTTGAGCAAACACTGGTCTTATTAAGCCACTCTTAGCTTCAGGTTAGGATGTGAAGCGGTATTTCAGTCACTTCCCATCGAAAAGAGTAGAAGTGCGCAGTGAGATTCCTTGCCTTCGTTTTTTGCGCCAGATGATGGTGATGGCTTCAGCTTGCTTTGGTTTTTGCGCCAGTATGAACAAAGTAAATGAAATGGCTCAAAGTTGTGCACATTTTTAACGACTCTAAAGTGTTTCGTTATCGTATGAACGAAGCATTTGTGCAACTTTAGATTTTTCATTTATTCAACTTTTTATTTGTATGTTACTTCATGTGCTGTTAGGCTAATTCTATACAGATTTACTCTCCAGTCATTGATGTTAACTGATAAATAACTATTCGCTTACGGGTTACTGGTCCTGTGGAGCCGTTTTAAATATGTATTTTCTAGTTACTTTAATTAGTTTTATGTTCTGCTATTAAGTTTTTGGTAGTTGAGTGTTTGAGTTTGAGTTGTTCTCCTGTGCAGTTTCCATCCCTCTCACTCACACGTTCTTCCCAGGTTTGCCTCCATCATTTTAAGGAACCATAAGTCATGTCTGGTATAGCGTTAAGTCGTCTCGCACAAGAACGAAAGGCTTGGCGGAAAGATCATCCATTTGTAAGTATGAGGGGCTTTTAAATCTGTTACCGTGACTTTTCTCATGGAACGTTGCAGTGTACCAAATATTCGTTTTCCAGGCACAGTGTTACTCCATATAGAGTATAGCATAGACGTGTGTATAATCCCATCTGCTGATATTAGTCTGGTTATCTGGATATCTGGTTCATTCAGTGTTAACTTAAAGGACATTTTCACCGAATTTTCAGAACTTAAGCGTAATTAAGTGTAAAGTCATTCAGAATGATTTAATGTGGAATGCTTAATTCCAGAGAAAATTAGAGGTTAAATTATTCACAGGGGTGGTGATGGGAACCAGACATAAGAGTTTAATGGCTCTTAAAGCCCTCATAAAAAGTTATAAATTAAATTTACTCAAAAGTTACTGTCTGCCAGATACGTTGTTTTATGATAATTTTGTGAAGGTTATGGCCTAAAACATTTTAATCATTTAAAGGACAGACACACATGCAGAGTGGTGAAGCAAAATAGTCCCCAAAGAAGCCTTATTTTTGAGATTTATCATTATTTTACCCATTGCATTACATATCTCGGATACAAGAATGTTTACTGGTGGCTTTGGACTGTGTTTATATTGTCATTTTGACTTCTGGTTCCTATCACCACCGCTGTAAAGAAATCAGTACATTTGTCTAGAACTTGCTTACTTCTAGTGTTTTGCATTAACTCACTTTAAATGACTACATTTATGCCACTGAATTATGTAAATTTTTTTTAAAAAAATCAATGGAGTTCCCATTTAAGGTCTGTCCTGTGAAATTAAAGGTCCAATGTCATGGAAATTCACATTTTTGTCCCTCTCTAAATTTATCTTAATGTAATATTAAAGGTTGAGGATATGGCAAAAAATTGAACATAACAATACTAAGTTTTTGCAGTACAGTGTCCCATTATGACAGCTGATAAGTTGGAACAGACAAAATAGTCAGGTTTTCAAAAATATTGTCAAACTATGAACTGAATGATTTGTATATAACTTTTCACATCCAGAGCTGCATTAAATCAAATAAAAATAAACGTTTAAAACTTGCCCTTCACTCGCTAGTCCATGCCACAACTAAGCCACAAAAATTGCCTGTTTTGAATTTGTCAGAAAAACCAGCTCATTTACACAACATCCTGCCTCTTCAGCCTACTGCAGTTTAACCCACCCATACATATCGAAGTAATGAAGTGTGTTTCAGCCTGGACTGCTTTTTGAATAAGGCACAACACAGAGCCGTCAATCAGAACTGAGATCACTTGCATATTTCACTCTCAAAGGCACAATAACAGTCGGCCTGTTAAAACCTATTGGATTAAGAGTTTTCACAATAGTGTGAAAATGAAGCATAGCTGTCATAAGTGGACCTCAAAAGTAAAATATAAGAAATGGCTCTTTAAAACATTCTGTGTCTGCAGGTGGCCTCAAGATGGTGGTGGCCTCTGCTGTTGGTACAGCAGTCAGGTGTATTATGTATTAGTAGTACCAACAGCAGTCATAATACACTTACATGATTCTTTTACATCCTTGCTGTCAAATCAAACGGCCTGTTTTTGTTACTGTGCTTTATTGTTGCTGTCCAAACAAAAAGATCTGATTTTTAGTTTTCTGCGTAATTTGAGCTCAGCGACTGCCTTTCTAGTCTGTGAAAATTTCAGGATGACCAGACCAATAGAGATGCTCCACAATTCCTGGGCATAAAAGCTCTTTTCATTTTCTTACATTAAACAAAAAGAATATTTTTGCCTTCCCTTTTAAAGATACTGTCTTTTTTTTCCCCTCCTTTGGACAACAATGGTAAGATCTGAACAGAGCTTGTTTACATTCATTGTGCATTCAGCAGAGTGGGCGGAGCTAATCTGCTAAAGACTGAATAGGCATATGTAGGTATAAGTATATGTAAATGTGATGGTTTGTGTGACATCACAAAAACAGAATTCAGAGTGGGCTGTCTTTACAGTTTGGTTTCCATGTGTGGATTTTATAAACTTACTGGTGTTTATACATACATCAAAGTCAGGTTTTCATGGTATGAGCCTAATAATAATAATAATAATAATAATAATAATAATAATAAAAAATATAGCCGCAAGCGGCAATGAGCAGGTCCAAGCACGCGTAAGCCCAAGAAGCTCTCATGCACTAATAAGGCCTAGTGCAGTTTGGGCCTCCGAGGCAGAGAGGCTGAAAAAAGGTCTGAGTTCATCAGCAGGCCTTCATTTGTCATGAACAATGAGCAGGGGGTTTTAAACCTAATATATGTTTATATTTCAATTTACTGATCTACAAAGGTTTGAAGAAATACATGAGTAATGGTAAAATTTCTGTCTTTGTTGTGTTTGCAAAGTATGTTTCTCCATGTTAAAGGCTTAGATAAGCATGACATAATGAGACACAGTGCACTCATAAGGTTCCTTTTAGCAAAAAGGACCTCAGTGAAAGTGGGTCAGAATTGGTCCAAAGGTCTCCAGATGTTATGAAAATTGATCAGGGACATTCATCAAAGATGTTCACCAAGTTTTGTTCAGATTGACCTTTTGACCTTGGTATAATAAGCTGTAGTATTTAAATGAATAATTTCAAAATACCAGAGAAGGAGTCAAACTTATGACATAACATGTAATTACAAAGTTATTCAGATCAGTGAACTGAATCAAGACATGTTATTTGTCTGTAGACTTTGTAGTATTGTTGTAATAACAGTTTTAACAATTTTAGGTGTTTAAGTGCTAAAGCGCCCCCTATGGACCAATCAGGATCAAATTTTGCAAGCCATGTGAGTCTCAATTTATAGATATCTTTACAATTTTGAGATGATCGGACCGATGACTGATGAGCTATAGCAATTAAAGCTAGCAATGCTATGGCCGCAATGATTTAGTGATGGAGGGAGACCACAATGAGCAAAAAAATTGAAAATGTGCTGGATAATTATTTACCTAGAGAGGCTACAGAGTATTTCTAGACCAGGTTTGAGAAGGTAGCTTAAAATTCCACGGACTAGTTCGAAAAGTTCTATTTTCAAACAGTTAACGATTGAGAAAAAATGATGCACTTTTTTAATAGACTTATAATGATTGTTTGGGAAACTGTACTGCATGAGGGCATTTAAGTTATATGACCAAAAATGAAAATCTGTAGAAGATATACTCAATAGCGCCAAATATTTTGAAATTTTACAGGATGTTAGAAGGTGGTGAGATATAGATGTCAAGTATCATGAGGATTGGCCAAGGCTAAGCCTGTCAAATGTCTGCTGAAAGCTTATTGGCCAATGACGACCATAAATTTAAATATTTCGAAGTGTCCTGAAAGATTCACTTATAGTCTTTGTGATAAATGGTACTTGCAAAGTTTCAGCTTGATCGGATGTACGGATGCTGAGAAACAGCTATGGAGCATTTAGTGCCCCCTAATGACCTATGCGCACAAAAATTGATAAGCTACCTCAATGTCTCATTAGGAATAAGCCTGTCAAGTTTCAGATTTTTTAGGTGAAGGATTCTTGAGGTACAGATTTTTTGATTAAATAAGAATTATTTTGATTTTTCCAGAAGGATTAATTTGCATATGGCAGCCATACTGTTTACAAAATTAAAAATGTGCTGGATAATTATTGAGGTTTAGGCTATGCTGAATTGTTTGACACCAAAAACATGAGGATAGGATGAAAACTGTAGGACTAGTTTGCAAAAGTAGGTTTTGCATATTATGCAAATTAGCTCAATCTAAGTAGGCGGAGCTTAATGGTCCAAATTACAAAGTTGTTTTGTTGGACCCTAGGAATCAGTAAAAAAATGTGTCTTGTCTGTCAAAAATCTGGGGAGGGAATTATAGAGCCAAACGCGTTGTTGCACAATAGCGCCACCTTTAGGCCGATCGGGCTCATGTCGCGCGCCTGAGTAGCGGGAGGGACTACTACCTATTGACCAAGTTTCATGTCTCTTGGACTTGCGGTTTGGTGATTCATTTTATCGGAGAAAAAGAAGAAGAAGAATAAGAAAAACTCTAACAATAGGTTATTAATACACCTTATTTGAGGCATATGTAAAACAGAGCAACCTTAGTTGTCAGTACTGTTTTGTAAAATAATTCAAAATGAAAGTTAGGGTAATATGCATCTGTAGCAACATGGCATGGCCAGGGGTGGGCAATGATGTTTTATAGTTAAGGAGATAAATTGTAAATGATTTTTAATGACTTGCCCACTAATAACATGTTTAATTATAAAGTGAGCATAATTAGTCTTGCTTGATTATTGATTATTTTGACACATTTGGAGTGCAGTTTGTAAAACATTTATAGGTGCACTATAGGTTTTATTTTTATTAAATCCCAGGAAGGCTAAATATTGTGACGCATGTTGTGTTCTTGTAAAAATGTCTTGAAGTATGATGTAGTTTTGCCATGTCGCACACCCTGAGAATTAACAGCATTTAATTTTTCTGAGGTTTGATGAGACAAGAAATTCTACAAAAAATCAAACCATAAATACAAGGATTTTATTCAGTGTTTCACAAACTGTACTGCACTAAATCAAGTTAAATAAGCCTAATTTTAATGAAACTTGCAGTGCTAATATCCATGATCCATGCTCATAAGTGTATTGACAATTTATCATAAACTGCCATTGCCCAGCTCTACGCTTATCCAAAAGCACCAGGCTTTTTTTTTTTGTATGAGTCAAATGACATTTTTTCCATGAATCCCCTTTTTGCAGAGTGATATCAAAGTTCCAGTAACTGTCCACACTAGCTAGTATAGAGCTCACTGCTGCTTTCTTACTTTATCGTGACCTGAAATGACTGCTGCTGACTCAGTTTATAGCAATAATAGAATCAAAGCTTAAGAACTGTACTTTATTATTATAAATTTAAAGGCAACATACCTTAATCATATTTCCACCTAGAAGTAAATGGAGTTGCAGGACCAGTATTTAGTTGTCAGTCATAAAGACTGTATGCCCCAATATATGCAGGCTGAGTGTTAATACCCCCACCCACATTGTTTCCACTGTATTGTGCAAACACATTTTTTTTTTAATAAGGCACTGACTGAAGCTCTGGGGGTGAGCATTTAGGTTTTAGTGAATGCAGTGAAAACACTCCAGCTGAAATGTGAACAATTTAAACTGAGTTTGAGTGTCTGGGTTTGAGATGGACCAGTTCAAAATAGTGTTTTTTCTTTCTCAAGCAAAAGAATTGCGTTCGGATTTGCACACAATTGTACATTTACGTTTTGTACACCCCTTGTTTTTGTCTTGACTTGGGTTTTTTTGAAGAACATTTGAATTTTTATAATTGCACTAGTTTCTTCAGTCTTTGTTACTACATGCCTTCATGTGTGATGCTCCCAACCAGACAGGGTAGTAAGTTCTGGCAAGTGTTTCCTCCCCTTTATATGTGGCCTAGCCATCTCAGCATGTTGAGGTTAACACGTTTTCTTTGGCAGGGTTTCGTAGCTGTGCCGACCAAAAACCCTGATGGAACAATGAACCTGATGAATTGGGAGTGTGCTATCCCTGGAAAAAAAGGGGTGAGAATCTCTCTCACTGACACAGCTGAGTGTTTAACTTATGCATATTCATCAGGTTATTTGTATAAATTGAACTGTTTTGACATCTGGTTGATGTTGAATAAAGTATCCAACTATGTTTGCGCTGTATCTTTCTCTTTCAGACGCCTTGGGAGGGAGGCTTGTTTAAACTGCGGATGCTCTTTAAGGATGACTACCCTTCTTCCCCGCCAAAGTGTGAGTTATGACTTGATGTTCTAATGTTACCACTTTATATTCATTGTTGTACAGTAAAGCAATTACTTCTGAATGTTGCATTTGTCTAAAAAAGCCATTGCTTTCATCAGGTAAATTTGAGCCTCCCCTATTCCATCCCAATGTATATCCGTCTGGCACTGTGTGCCTATCGATTTTAGAGGAAGACAAAGACTGGAGGCCGGCTATTACAATCAAGCAAGTAAGCAGAAAAGAACTGATGACTTCCCTCTTATTTTACCCGTAATGTATTATTAGCTGCTGCAGATGCAGCTTGCTGCTTGTTGAAGGAAGTAAACACTGATCCAAAAATAGATGCCTTAGTAACTTTACAGTTTCACTGGTGCATAAACATCCCTTATCTTTATTAACTAACTTTGCAGGGACCTTTAAAACTGTTGGGGCAGTTAAGTCAAAAATGTTCACCAGGCTTCTGTCATAGTTGTCTGTCTTAAGTTGAATTGGGAGCTGCCCATGAAAAGTAAGCAATGTGCAGGGTGATGTGAATATCGAAAACAAGACTAGGCCTAGTTTTGCTTAGTCGCAGTTGAGTGCATGACATTTAGCATACAGTAGACAAGTGTACAAAGTGCAGAAGTGCCATGTTTTTTCCCTGTAGAGGATGTTGGTTAATTTTCCACTTAAGTCAACAGTGTGTAATTTGACCAAGGATGTTTAAACTTGTGTATATCTATACTGTAAACAGCACAATGGGTTTGTATTATGTTGGCGCATTAATACAGAATGCATGCACATGTTTGTATATGTCAGGTATTTTGCAACAGCTCAGACTGCAGTTTAGGCACTCAGATTTTTGAGCCAGAACATTTTAAAGACAGTCTTTTGTTGCATCTCTGTGTGAACAATATAGAAAAATTGGTTTTAACTTGTATGTAGTTCCCAGTAGGTACTGACTTAGTTTAACAGTAGAGTGGATAACACATTTCCCCACATGGCAGACTGGAGTTGTTTTCCTGTTCTGGCGCACTGCTATAGCAAAGTACTTTTGTATGACTCTTACACTGTAGTAAATTGTAATGGACTAGTGTGTGCTAAAAATGAATGTTTACTTTTGTATTTTGTAAAACCTTTTTTTTGTTTGGAAAATTGGATCCAAACCTCATTTGGAGGTGGTTTGAAATGCAATTCCAGTCAGATTTTTACAGATGTCTCAGTCTGGATTTTCTGTCTTTTACATCTCTCACAATGTGACAAACAACGGCAAGGTCAAATCCACAGTGACGGGAATGCTGAAATTCACGGAGAGCGCCGAAGATTCATGTTTATGCCAGACAACTTTGAAGAGTTTTGAGTGTGAGATGGTGCAGCTCCATCTGTCCTGTATCTGTGTTTTGAAATCCACTTGGCTATGTAGTTACTGATGCCCAAGTTGTTAGCACAGCAATGACATGCAAATCCAGTCTGATCACTTGCAAATAACAGTGCGGACGATAATCATAAAAAGATCTGGTTTGAGAAACAAATCTGATTTGCCTGCAGTCTGAACATAGCATTGTTGCTATAGCATGGAGTTTGCTTACAGCAGTGGTCACCAACCCTCCTCCTGGAGATCTGGTTTCCTGCAGAGTTGAACATAATTAAAATTGGGCTTCTGAATGCTGCTGATTTGGTGCTGGATGAGCAGGTGCTGCGAAGTGAAGGAAAAAAGCTATATGAGAACTGGAGAGAAAATGTGATGTCTGTAGATAAAACCAGGTGGTGTTACTTTGGTTTCCTAATGTCATGTAGACCAGCCAGTGGTTGTGGCAATTAGTGTTCAGAAATGCTTGAGTTTAGGTGGCTTTTACATGGCTAACGCTGAGGTAATTTAAGCATGGTCATGGTGCTTAGCTTACATAGGAACACAGTAAAATGTTTAACTTTTTGATGGCTGTCCCCTCAAACTGTACAGCACACATTCTCCTTATGTGATCATGTAGTTAGACAAATGCATGCATCATTGGCTGTGACTAAAATGCACTGTTGCATACTTCGGTCATTTTTCCTCTGTGTCGGTCATAAAATTGAACTCCAGAGTGATTTTTGAGGGTGGTAGTTTCCTCACAATGCACTCAATTTTAGGAAAGTAGTGAATACCGTAGAACACTACATCAGCTGAATGTGTACCAAAATGCATTTGTCTCTTGTTACTAAGCAACAGACCAAAGAATGTTAGCTACTGAAAATGAAACAAAAGTTGGACTCTTGACTCTCTGGCCAAACCCTGAGTTTTTGTTTTAAAAAAAAAAAAGGGAGAATATGCAAGTCATTACAGCTGAACAAGAACCTAAGTGGTTGTTTGCTGGGCTACTGTTTTCAAATATCTGCATTTCATTCGTTTTGCTGCGTTCTTAAGTTTAGGCAAATGTTATTTCTCTGTAATACTAATCGAGGAGGATCTACTTCTTGTTTCTTTCAGTTCTGTGTTTGTGTCAACATCAGCAAATATGTACATGACACACCTCTGCATCAGCCCACAATTCTCATATTGGTGCTAAATTTAGAATATGTAGAAGACAACAGCCAGGTCAGCTTGGGAAGGTTACTGAGACTGTACTGTAAGTACAAACTGGATTGCAGTACCAACCAAGTTCAGGTGAACCTACAGGCTCCTGAAATTGGCTTAAATGATCAGAAGAAATGAGACCTTGTGAAAGTCACAGTGGCAGGACCAAGATGCCTCAGGCAGTATCAATCTCCTTACCTCCTGTGCTTTTATTAAAAAGAAAAAGGGAGTATATATTTATGCAAATATGGCATGCATGAATTGACTCACTGATCGTTACTGTTGAACTAGAGATGGCCAGTTAGGGATCCGATTCAAGCCGATCTGCAGCTAACGGTAACTTTAGAGCTGTTAATTTATAAAATTAAATGTTAAAGTTAAATGTGGATTTAATATTGTCTTTCTCTGTTGCCATTGGTGGACCCTAGCTGTTTGAGTGATTAGAATCAAATTAGAGCTGTTATGGGCAACATCAGTGGTTAAGGAATCTTCCTGTTATTGTAATCAGTACCTTAGGACAAAGACTAATCAGTAAAATATTAATTGAACAACGTAAGCCTAGTCTTTCAGAGATTCCAAAATTCTTTACCTTTTTTAAAAAGCCGTAATTTAAAAGGAAAAAAAAATTGTGGCAAACATGTAAGAGTATCGGTCAGGCACCGAGAGATCAGTAGAAGAAGGTATTATGCTTTATTATACAACTTACCAAATAACCATTCACATCAAATCATGACTAATTCAACTTAAGATTAATCATAAGGATGAAATGGAAGAATATTGTTGCATGTTAGGCTGTAAGTTGTGATCTAACATTTGAGTTGACACATTGCAAAATGTATGACTTATTGCAGTTTCCTTAGTTGTTTGGGGTTAATCTTTTTTGTGATGGCTTTAAATTACTGTAGGACAATGCCATGTGCTTTTCAAAATTTGAAGAATTCTTTCAAGAGAAACTTGCTGACATCTTTACAATGGTAACACAATTTCTAATTAAAAATTGAGATTACCCCCCCCCAAAATGTTCAGTTATGAACTGTTTTAATGAAAAATCTTTAACTTGCATTAAATATTGCTGAGTAAACCAGCTTCTTTTGAGAACTACTTCATCTGTCGTTTTAAACGTTACTGCAAACGTGCGTTTTTTTGTTTTTTTTTTTCTCCTCAGGTTAGTTAACTTGGCTGCTCTACGTTAACTTTGTCACTTTAGCCTTTTTTTATTTCTTTTTTTTTTTATAACTGCAGCGAATCACTTTTGAGGCAAGCTGAAGTTCCAAAAGATGTTGAAATTCATTTTGATTTTGTGTGAAACTAACTACCTGACTGCTCGTGTGCAAGCCCGCACACTTCTTAAACGTGACCCACAGTTTCCCAGTGTATTTTTCGAGCTGTTTTAATGGTAAATTAGTCCTCTCTAATCCTCTTTTAGTTCTTTTGCCAAAACAGCGATTATCACTTTTTACACTTTGCCATTGGGTTACTTGTCCATTGTTGACAATATCCAGTTACATCACCCTATTGCCCAGGCCTACAGATGGTGGTAAGAAATGACCAGAAAACCTACATGTATAGCTAAGGTCTTTTGGGGGTTTAAGTAACAATGCCTTGCATGTAACTCCATGATAAATGACCACCATAAAAAACCTTCTCAAAACTGTCAATGACATCAGGGCATGTATTTGTAACCATTTTGTGTAATATCTTGCTCTGAGGTAGCTTTTCTTCGGATGTCTCATTCTCATCATGAACACTGACCAATCTTGACCACTCTGCCTTTGTTTGTCTTAACCATAAAACCAAATTTGAAATCTGTGGAATTCCCCTTTCCTATCTGCTGTTATTGTGTTTTTGATTTATCTTCATTGAGGTTCTGATCTTGCACAACTTTGAAATAATTTGTTGCAAATCATATGCAAGAATCCAAGGTGTAGGTTTATCAGGAAGGCAAAATGTAAATCATGTGGCACTCGTAGGTTACTTACTAAGGGAGTTAGCTTGCTAGTATGATTTGAGCTAGCTGACTTTTCAGCTTGTGTGGATGACTGATGCATACTGAAAATTATAAAAGCAGTCTGTATTATAGTGTCATTGTAAGCCTGTGTGCAACAGAAGCAATGCATTAGATTGTTTACTGCCCCAAATATGTTCAGTATGCTTCCTTCATTTCCATAACAAACACCTACCTGCAGAGAGTAGAGATCCAGCTGAGGGGGAAAAAGTGCGGGTGGTGCTTATGGGTTCATAGGATTCTCTGATAAGGTGGATCTAATTTACCTCTTGCTCTGCCACTGCAAGACCATAGGAGTTTTAAAGCCAGAAGCCCCTTTGCAGACTAGATGGGAGAATGGTTGAATAGTTAGATTAGATTTGGGTGTACTAAATGAGACACACATTCATAGTGTAGGGTGACCTGGACTGTGATTGAGAACCTGTTACATTTTAATGATTCTGTATTAGGCTTAATGGTTTTGCCTTCTCTGCCCCAATACACAATATTGAATGACTTCAGTGTGATTGCATTTGATTACCAAACATGTTTTCCAACTAATGGGTGTCAGCAAAAAGTAACATCTTAATTGTTCTTTAGGCTGCATCCCTGAAGGGGGCAGCATGATCTCATGAAACAAGACTGGTTCCTTTTGTCTGAGATTCTTCTTGTTTTTCTAGATCTTGCTAGGAATCCAAGAACTCCTAAATGAGCCAAATATTCAGGACCCTGCACAAGCTGAGGCATATACAATTTACTGGTAAGCACGTCAAAGTCTGTTGTAACCTGAAATTACAAGTGCGATCTTTGTGTAAGCAATCACGATTTTCCAAATTTGATTTCCAGTTAATTATGGGTGTTCGCTGATTAGCTCAGTTTTAATTGCATGTTGCCTTTTTTTCCCCCCTTTGCAGCCAAAACAGAGTGGAATACGAAAAAAGGGTCCGAGCACAAGCCAAAAAGTTTTCTTCGTAAGCCTCAAGATTTTGTCGTGATGGAAAGAATGAGTTTTGAAAAGATCCCTGCAGTCCTCCTTAGCTCTCCCCTCCTTAACCCTTTTACATTTCACACTAATTTCCACCTGGGTTTAAAGAAAACTGAATGTTGTGCCATTGTCAGTCCAGTGACACTCATCTAACAAAGCACTGTTGGCTCTATTTTCTTTCGAAAGAGGTAAGAGTCACCTTTTTGCCCCCAGTTGAAGCTAATTCATGGCACAAGCACTCCAATCCCGGGTAGTCACAAGTGCGCACGGTTCAGCGTCTTCCCTGCTCTAGCCTGCCTGACTCATGAGCGGCTTGTTGATAAGCTGATGAAGTGAATTGGGTGTGTTTGAGCAGGGAACACAGTACTGTAGCTCTTCTGTTCTGGACAGTTTGGGGATACTTTGTTACAAAACTTCATATTTGCAAAAAGTCACTGAAAAATAATCCACATGCAGCATAATGAAATTATATTCCAAACAAAGATATGAACGTTTAACTTTTTTTTTTTTGTTTGCTTTTATTTTCATTCTTTCAGACTGGCCTCCTTTAGACTCTTCCATGGTTTTAATGATGTGTAAGACTCTATTACTTAAATGTCAGTATTTCAACTGCTGTAAAATGATACTTTTATACTTTCTTGATTTTGAATTAGTGTCTCGATAGAACTTTCCATTCCTGGTTCGGGCAGTGTAGACAGCATGTTGTAATATACAGTATGATAGCATTGTGCTGCCTTGGCCAACTAAGTATGTTCTGCAGAAAAAAAGATTAAAAAAAAAAGGCCTCTGAATCAAAACCGGAAGGCGGGTTAGTGTGTCGCTGCATCAATCTTTGTGTTTATATGGTGTTTTTGTTCATGTAAGTGTTTAGAGTAAATAAAATGTTTATACAAAGCCAGTTTTAGTGTTGTGAATATACATGCTGCAAAATCCTTTCCTTCTTATACAAATTTATTCACTCTGTATTTCTTCCTTTTTAAAGGAAAGAACAGCGAGTTCATTTGTCATTGAACTCCTTTTACTGTACTCATTTCAGTGAACTTCTAATGAACAAGTTATGTTCCCAGTTTCATCAGTCAGCTACAATGAAAGTCAATGGAAAATGCTTGGAGTAATTGCTTATCAATACTGAGTAATGGCATTTGTTGCAGCTGCAATGTAGTAGTAATGGGTAATATCTCTGGGTGGCTGTATTGCACTGGGAGCTTGACAGTTTTGAGACTTGTGTGGAATCTTCTCATTAACTTCCTCCTGCATACCTGGAGTGTAGGGGAAGTTGTTAATTGGTTTCATCTGGATTACCATGTTTTGCAATAAGAATAATAATCCATATGGCCAGGTTTCCTAGTGCAAATTAACCTGGTTTGAAACTAAAGTATTTGAAAATCAAGATTCCACTATTAGACTTGACTGCTCACAATTTTGCTGGTAAATAATGCCTTAGTGCATGATCACATTTGAAAAAGTAAAATTTAAAGCATATTTATGGTCTCTTTATATATAAATGTTATTTTTTATATATGTGTGTGTATATGTACATGTGTATGTGTGTGCGCCACCTTTTATTAGAACCTTTTATTAATAGAAATTGTGTGCGAGTAACTGTGTGTGTGTATATACACGTGTGTATATATATAAAAGTGTGTGTGTGTGTGTGTGTGTATGTATGTATATTATATAAAATGAGAGCTTTCATTTGTTTAGTTATTGTGAGCATGAACAGGTTTACATGGACTGATAGTTTTGGTCACTTGTTACTGAAAATGCCACTTTTTCTGTTGAAACAAGACTGCAAAAAGACAACACAGCTCCTTCTTTACTTTTTTCAAAACATTGCCAATGAACCAATCTGTGCCAGTCTGGAAGAAAAGGGCACAAAACCGGCACTTCCTGACTGCAATTTGGTGCAGCTTGTAATAAGGCTGATGAAATCTTTTGCCATAGTTAAATGCCTGGATCAGTATTATGCTACATGTGGGAACTATAAAAGGCAGCCGGCATGATTACCTTCAACAAAATGCTGCTCATCTTTGAATAACACAAGCGACAGTATTTGTACTCCTCTGTATGTACCATGGAATAGAACATTTACAAAGTGCTTATATTTGGCTGCTGCAGTGTTTCCATGTTCCATTTAGAGGCATTCATGCAGCGTGCCGAGGGAATCCTCACTGTAAGCTCAAGGGCCTGGCTGATTGCTGTCTTTGAGCAGCAGGTTAAACAAAATTAACGCACAATGCAAATTACGGCTCTGCAATGCAAATTAAATCATTAGTGCTGCCACGAGTGCCCTGCACACTGGAGTGATACAGCTTGTTTAATCTCTCGAGTCTTTAAAAAAAGTGCTGGTATGCTAAGGGCAAATTCTGCATTTTCATTTGAGGACTACAGCAGATAGTTTTCCTTAGGCATTCCCATTTCATTTGACCACTTAATGTATAATTTACAACTCGTGCAGCTCATGACAAAGCCAATTAGCAACAAGTTCAAAGCGCAATCAGTCATAGATATTAGCTGATGACAAGTTTACTTACAGAACAGCATAGATTTCACCCCCATTGTACTGTGGGAGAAAGCCTAATGCTGTCTGTCAAGCCAGAATTCTCCCACATCCATGAAGCTTTAGGCTTAACCAGCACATAAGCAAACAAGATTTTAATAAATAAACCCAGTGAAAGTCTATGATCAAGACAAATTTTCTGCTCTGTGTCTGTGCCCCCACCAATTCCCCTCTTTAGAATCTGGCTGGTAACTAGAGGAATAGTTATTTTAAAGATGCTGTGAGGCAGCCACTTCAAACAGTCTGTACCGGCTGGGGCGGTGCACTAATGATGTGCCCATGGAAACAGCAGAGGGCCATTGTGAGCCTTTCCTCAGATCAAAAAATCAACCAGCATCCTTCTACGGCCGTTCACCAAACTGCTACAGCATGGACAATGCTGACTTAGAATGTGCGTCACTCTGAGATGTTAATTCTCTGGTCTTTTTTTCGACATATCTTCCACATGGAGGTCATTTTCGGCCCTACGAAGGCTCACAGGTTATATAACCTCTTCGTTGAATCCACCAGACACTTGATGTTCTCTCTGAGTACCTAATTAACTAGAAAAGCACAGACTATTACTTGCCGTTAACCCCCTCTCCCCATTCGAATAGAAGTAATTTGCCAGCGTTTGTGCTGTGTCGAAACAGTACATTTTCCAATACTGAAAATGTTGCGGCTCGGCCCTAACTAATAAAAATATCATCAAAGAAAAAAATCTGAATGCCTAATGCTTTCTTTTTACATATGAATGCCTCAAGGGTCATCAAGCAGAAAGATCTGAAAACAAATATTTTCATTTGATCTTTTCAAGCAAGCTCTGCAGATTTGAATGTGAAAACAGTATAAAGGCTCACTGGTGGGCTGTGAAGCTTGAAGAGCCTGCTATGAACCACACGGCAATCCCAAATATTCATGAAGGAATCCTCAGCCAAAATAAATACATTAACATGGCTAAACAATAAATGAAAGCCAGTGGCACCAGTCACCCCGGTCCATCTCCATAATGCTAACTGGCCGCTCATAGCTTTCATCATTTATTAGCATGTTGAGGTTGAAGTAGCCTGTTCCATTAAAGCATGAGCTGCCTGTTTTCATCATTCATCGTTTGAAAGACTAAGCACTCGAGGTTCACCAACAGAGGGAGTTCCAGTCAAATTCGGGTCATCGAGTCCAGTTACTCAGTAGGTCCTTGAGACAAGAGGCACCTGCCTGGTGTGTCTAGTGGAGCACTCAGTCACAGGTCATGGTCCAAGAGCTAATGGTGATTGAGACTTGATAAACTGGCCCAAAATGGGACATACTTTATTGTTGTTTAGGGGCTCAAGTTGAATGCATTGGACCATCACAGTTTGTTTTGATTGGCCCTCATAGCTTATCTTAAATAGCCCAAATTGTCTGATGATTATGAACTCGAGCTGCATTCCATTCCAAAAGGTCCCTACACAGCATTCCCTACACACTATGACCTGGGATGTTGGTCAAGGGAGCTGCAGTTGATAAATACCTGCGGCATCATAATCAAACACAAAGCAGCTTTCTGTGATAAACCATTGTTCACTACTCCCTATTCAGTTTGAAGTTCCATCATCCTTAAAATGTCTCATTACCCTGTGCAGTCCACTTTACAGGGAGCTGCTTGGGCAACTGGAATGCACCTCAAGCCCTGTTCACACTTGGCCTTAACATGCATTCTGGGTGATCCAATCATAAGTGCACAGCTCTAAGGGTAAGTGTGAATGGTACAATGCGTGAACGGGGCCTAGAGTTAGAGGTGGGTTTGGAACCAGACCTAGGTTTAGGTTCATGGTGAATTTAATAGATATTTAAAAATATACATGGAACATAAGGTGAACATCTAAAGCAGGGGTCTCAAACTTTTTCATGCTTGGACCCACATTTCACAACTCACCAAATATTTTGTAAAGTGAAATAAAACAACCGTCAAAGATCCTTAGCTTTTCAGTCCACTTTTACTCAACATGCTGTTCTCTCCATCAACATGTGCAATAATACACCATGATAAACGTGAACATACATAAACCTACATCGTCACATACTTGGCGGGATTGTGGAATAGAAAAACTTATTTGTTCTGTAATTAAATTCAGCTCTTACCTTCAGAATGAATCCATTAATACATTTCATTAATATTTAACTGGATATTACAAGTCTTACATTTGCTCTGATCCTTCTTGTCAGCTTGCATAGTATGATTTTCAGCTCTGAGCTCTGATCGCCATTGATCAGAACATCAGCTGCCAATTTGACTGGAAATTACACAATGAAAGAGTGTTTTCTGACTGTTTTTGTTGATTTTCTAAGTGAAAATAAGTTGACACATCCTCTACAGAGAACACACGTCTGTACATTTTACTGCACCATTACTGTTTATTTGCTGAAGTTAACATATTGAAAAATAACACATTAAATGACCTATGCAAAAGTTATGCCACATTTTATATTTTGCTGTATTCTTTTCCAACATGTTCAACCATATTTAGGTTGGTTTCTTGTAGAGGATGTGTTAACTTATTTTTACTTAGAGAATCAAGGAAATGCAATTTGACAAGAACTTTTGTGCATGACTGTATATTTCATCACTGTCTGAACCTTATATCTTCATTTTTGTCTATTTTTTACTTAATTTGAAAACAACAGCTACCCGCATCATTGTGTGAAAATGACAGGAAATGGTCCATATTTACTTGGAATAAAATCTTTACGTTAACATGCATTAAAACTGTTTTTTTTCATCTTCTGTAAAGTTACAATATGGGAGATGAGGTTTTCCTGTGATTTACCTCAGAGCTAAATCAGCTGTCAGAGGCAAGACAAACTAACATGTCAAGTTCAAGGATTCTGCAGGATCACAACTGATAAACATTACACTACAGCAGGAGGTGTCAGGCACACCTTGTTGATTAGCAAAGCACTGGAAAAGGCCATGGCTCTACCTCAGCAGATAACAACAGAAAACTATTTCTTACTGAACTTACTTTACATGATCATTTCGTGTCTTTTTATCTATGACTGTCCCTCATGTTCCCTCTGCTGTATTTCTGAATCGTTCAACGCACCAACATTCACATAATTAACTTGCAAATCAGTGAGTGTCATACCCCTGCAAAACTGCCAGTGCCATTAGCACTGTTGAGTTCGCACTCAAAGCACACACTGATCCGAACACATCAATTGAGTCAGGAGAGCAAGCAGCTGTAAGTTGGGTCCCCGGTGCCCATGAATTCCCCCAGCATCCTCTCATGCTCAGTTGAAGCCGTTTAAGAGTTTTTCACTGGCCATTTGGCAACCCTTCTGCCTTTGTTTTACTGCCTGTGTGTCGGATAATTTCAGAG